AACGAGGCCAGGAAACAAGTGACTGTATGGTCCGGGGCTGGAGTGGGTCTGGAGAAAGCACCAAGAGCCTGCCAGGGAACCGTAAGTGGGGCTTTGCCGCAGCACATCGCACCACACGTGTTCAGTGACATTTTGGATATACCAGAAAGTTACAAGAGACACACTCCCTTTCCTTTGGATTACAAATAGTATTGCGCAATACTTAGGGTGCACCCCAATGTTATACCTTGCTCAGGAACATTCAGGCGCAGCCAGGCTGCTTTCTGGACATGGGGGAAAGTCCACAAGTATGGGGTTAGTGTTAGACAGTATTATTCTTACTGTATGGTTATGTGCGCTGTTATCATTCTGTTCACGTATGCTCAACTACATGATCACTATAACTGTTCAGTAAATGTAATTGTTTTAAAAGAACCGCTGTCTGTGTGGCATCATGTACCCTCTGAATCTGTGGGCCCAGCTCTCGGCTTTCCTTCACAGGCTCTGTCCTCATGGATGCAAGACACAGACCTCACCACAGTTCTGTCTCTGTTCACTCCCCACGCTAGTCTACCTGCGATCAGCTAATTTTGCCTGGGAAAAACACTATCTTTCCTCCTCTGTGTGCAGGGAATTGTGTGCCTGTAGCTCTGCTGCCATTAGTCTCCATTCACTTGTATGGAGCAGTGCCCCTTTAAGGACTATTTATCTCATGAGCCCTGCTGCACAGCAAGTCCTATCTCTGATATTCCCATTGGCTCAAGCTCATTGCCAGGAGAGGGTGGGATTTCAGAGAGCCCACTCTGCTCACACAGTAGGGAAGCTAAGGGTGAGAGGCAGCTGCTGCAGCAGAAATGATGATAGGGAGAAGGAAGTGAAAGGAGAGCGGCACGTGCAGTCAGCAGCACAGCCCGCTACACCTTCAATGAACACAAGACAACTCGAATTTCACATAAAGTTCCCTTAGCCTGATTTACATTTGTAAGTATGGCAAGCCATAGATTATGTGATTTGGTTTGAGGAAAGACAATTGTTTGATTCACCTATCCACACAGGAACCTTCCCTGCCAGAAGAACACAAGGCTCACTGCTGGCGGCTATAGCGGCATGCAAAAAATCCAAAAGGCTGCTTGCACTGAAGCCAATCAATGGATTGACTCCAGTATAAATAGCCTGCCCATAGATGGATTGAATCTTGGCCATTCCCTGCTGAACCAGGCAAGGTTAGATCCATCTATGGCAGGGTTATGACTAAAGCTTTCCTGGTCAAACTTCTCTGCTAGGTCACAGAGGTACACTTACTTTTGCTCGCCTGTGACGCAGAATCAGCCGATGAAAGCCCACTGTTAGCTGATGTCACAGAGCAGCTTCAGCCTCTGGAATGTTCCTGACCATATGTTGGGATATACCTAGCGGCCTGATTGACACTTGGGTCACAGCTTGGGCCAAAGTCAGCTGTGTCTGTCCCACTACAGTTACACTGGAGGGGCAGAGTGGAGAACAATGACCAATAGTCACTGTTCTGTGCTCCAATTAGACTGAGAACTGAGTGATCAACTGTCATGGGATTGCTCATTTCACAGAGATGTGGGACAGCTGCAGCCTCATACTGATACTGCACCCCAACCTCTCCTTCAAAGTGGTTGTAAAGCTTTTATTAAAATAACAAAAATGTATATACTTTCCTGCTCTGCGTAATGGTTTTGCTCAGAGCAGCCCCAATCCTCTTCCTGAGTCTCCCACTTGTGCTACTGGCCCCTCTCCCGTCTAGTGCCCCCGGAGCAAGCTGCTTGCTTCGGAGGCACTTGTGTGCGGTATATGAGACACAAAGAGCATGGCTTAACCCTACCCCCTTCTGTGATTGACAGCAAATTTTAAAACACTTCCTGTGCTTTATTGTAGATGATAAGGGATAGATCCTCCGCTGTCTGGGATCCAAACTGGCTTACACGCTTGGAAGGTAAATCCTCTTAGTCAGAGCCAAAAAATGGCTGTGAAGAAGAGGGCTTGCCCTTGAAACGTGTAAGCTGATTTGGATCCTTGATGTCATCTCTCTGGCGTTGGCAGACCCTGGGCCTGCCGAGTTGTGAACCTGCCTTGTTTGTATGTTTTTAATGAAGTATCCATGGGATAATGCAGTAGGCTGGAGTACCCTCTTTTTGTGTTTTTGCTGTGATTGACAGCAACAGGAACCAATGGAGAGTTGGGAGAGCCAAGGCTCTTGTGTATAGTGCTGGATGGAGATGGGGCATAGGGAAGTATTGGGAGGGCAGCAGCATCCAGCAGGTTTTTCCCCTTCATACTAAGAACACGTGAAATACCTCCAGACTTTCCATATTGGCTGCTCATTAGACGTTTAGTGAGGGCATGGCTCAGCCAATGACAGTGCAGAGCAGCCTTCTTCTCCTGCCATTCTATCCTTGTTCTCTCCTTCACCTACAATCCATCTCTCTGGGCTGATAGGAGGGGAAAATTCAAGCCTTCTCTTATTGCAACCAATCACAATTCACGTCTGATACACCCATACCATGGAAGGACAGCCCTGATTGGGTTATTTCGGGTAATCATTTCACTTTTGTTTCCATCCCCCCCCTTCCCCCCTTGAATCATTGTCTCACTAAGAAAACAAAAGCATCAAATCCCCCCTGACCACAGCCAGGACCTCAAAGAGCGCGAGACTTCCCGGCCATGGCTACGCCCCTGTACAGTACAATGACGGTGATCCCCGAGTCCTGGTCGGGTCAGAGCCGTACTCCATCCCCCTCGTGCCACCCCACCATGTCACTTCATTACACCCAGACCGTCCTCGACCCCCCGCCCACACACTGCACCATCTCCCATCATGCCCCGTGTCCGGGGCGGACTACATTTCCCGACAGCCCACATGGCTCCAGTGACGTCACAATGCCTATAAGTGGTTACATTGTAGCGAGCTCAACCCATTGTTACCGATGTATGGAGCCGGGGCGGACAGGGCTGGACGTGGCTGCTCCCCCCCATTGAGCTCAGTGTCCCCCAGGCAGTAATCATCCCCCGCCCTGTACTGTGTGTGTCCGAGCAGATCGAGGAGGACATGAGCCCGATCTGACCCCCCATGTCATTGATGTGGCCGATCGCGTCTCCCTTCCGCCCCGGCTTCGATCAGGATCGTTGCTGACCAATGCTCCATCCGTGCTCACCCAGTCATCGCCGCCGCCGCCTGCCCACCGACACCCCCCTACACACAGCCTGGTGACACCCACAGCTCGGACTCGCCCTGCACTAAGGCGATCTGTACGTCTGGGGCCCCATCGGAGAGGCAGCCTGGGAGGAGGACTCCCCATCCTCGCGGACACAGTACGTATGGTGAATGTGGATGAGCTGTGCTGACACTGGATGGACATTTAAATCCCCAGCTTGGGAGGATGGCCTCTCCTCCAATACACCATCCATGGCTGGTCATGGGGCCCAGGCTGCTGGGGAGATCCCATCCTCCCCTACACGAACCCATCTCCCTCCATAGACCGATCATAATACATTTCTATGGTATGATATAGGGGGGATCATGTGTTCATGTAGTCATCCCATAATAGTCTGCTGGAGGCTCCTTGTATTGGTGTACACAGAGCCTGCCTGGCCTCAGCTTTGTTTCTGTATTATTGTCCTGATCACAGATCTGTGCTAATGGCAGGCCTGCCTGAGTGTCAGCTGCTGCAGAACCTCTTTTTACTGCCCTGCCTGTCATCTGAACTTCTATCTACTGGATTCCCAATAGGAGACATTCACATCACTGCACAGACCTGTGTCATGTCATCATCAGTCAAGTCATGGTGAGCCCTGTCATTACAATGACACTGAGCTGCAGGGGATCCCCCCACCATCTCCCCCAGTTACTGGAGTTGAATGTAGTTCTATGATATGTCATGGACTGGAGGGAGGATATGGGGGGGGGGGGGGGGGATTGTGGATGGATAGCGGGGCTCCTGGAACACCAGGGGGGGAAGGATTCTGTGCCGGACTGACATGGGTGACTCCCTTTTTATTGTTGAAATAATGATTTATTGTTAGCTTACCTTGTAATTACTTACTGGACAGGAATGAGAGCGCCTTTCCAACTGCATGACTGGTTAGGCAATGTCACAAAGTTTATATATATATACCTACCTATGTCTTTAAAAATGATTGCTGAAGTGGAGGAATGTGAGAGTCATACCTTAGATGGGAATTATTTGATTCGGGGTTCCTCCTAAGTACAGAGTCACTTTTCCATCTTTATAGAAAAAGAAAAATATCCTTCTTGGTATTGTGTAGTAATTGGCTGCTGAATAAGAATGAAAAATCCCATCTGTTTGACTGTTTTCCATGTTTTAAACAAGTTTTTAGTATATACAGTGGACAGGCTATACAAATAAATATGTGGGTATAAAATGTACTGCTTGCTTATTTTGTACTTGCCTATTAGACAAAAATGAAAGCTGTACTGAAATTTAAAGTGGAACATCACTGCATTGGACCACCACAAACCAAAAAAACACTGTTTAATTCATTTGTAATATTCAAAGGAAAACCCCTCCGTCCATCCATGTCGCCATGCTTTATTTTACGGAGAAATCACTTTGAAAAATACCCCTGGCATTTTTGGCCATGGCCATCTTCAGTAAGGGCAGATGATTCATAAGGCATTTACTTCCTGGAATCCATCTGCCCTTAGCTCAGGCATACATGCAGCAGGGTATACTTAGCTGAGAAACCCTTCCTCCCCTCCTGAAGACTCCTGGGATATATGATATACTTTCCTATCTATTTACTAATGCTAGCAGCATAATGATTAAAATAGTCAATGATGATTGACAGAGTGAAGTTCCACTTTGTAAGGTTTGGTATACAGATCTGATGTATGGATCAAATTAGATATGGGGCAGATATAAGATAACATACTTGTGTATAAAAGTAGGATCAATGTATGTCTCTGACAACTGGCCACTAACACCAATGATCTTTTAGGTATCCCAATGACCACTAATGTACAGGGCATTTTCCTCACTGATCACCAATGTACAGGGCATTCTTCCCACTGAACTCCAATGTGAGGAGCATTCTTCCCACTGACCTCCAATGTGAGGAGCATTTTTCCCACTGACCTCCATTGTGAGGAGCATTCTTCCCACTGACCTCCAATGTGAGGAGCATTCTTCCCACTGTCTTCCATTGTGAGGAGCATTCTTCCCACTGACCTCTATTCTGAGGAGCATTCTTCCCTCTGACCTCTATTCTGAGGAGCATTCTTCCCACTGACTTCCATTGTGAGGAGCATTCTTCCCACTGGCCATCAATATGAGGAGAAATCTTCCCAAGGACCACCAATGTGAGGAGCATCTTCCCACGGACCACCAACGTGAGGAGCATTCTTCCCACTGACCTCCAACATGAGGAGCATTCTTCCCACTGACCTCCAACATGAGGAGCATTCTTCCCACTGACCTCCAACATGAGGAGCATTCTTCCCACTGACCTCCAACATGAGGAGCATTCTTCCCACTGAGATCCAACATGAGGAGCATTCTCTTCCCATTGGCCTCCAACATGAGGAGCATTCTTCCCACTGGCCTCCAACATGAGGAGCATTCTTCCCACTGGCCTCCGGTATGAGAGAGCATTTTTCCCACTGACCTCCAATATGAGGCGCATTCTTCCCACTGACGACCAATATGAGGTGCATTCTTCCCACTGACCACCAACATGAGGTGCATTCTTCCCACTGACCACCAACATGAGGCGCATTCTTCCCACTGACCATCAACATGAGGAGCATTCTTCCCATGGACCTCCAACATGAGCATTCTTCCCACTGGCATCCGAAATGAGAAGCATTCTTCCCACTGGCCTCCAGTATGAGAAGCATTCTTCCCACTGACCTCCAGTATGAGAAGCATTCTTCCCACTGACCTCCAGTATGAGAAGCATTTTTTCCACTGACCTCCAGTATGAGAAGCATTTTTCCCACTGACCTCCAGTATGAGGAGCATTTTTCCCACTGACCTCCAGTATGAGGAGCATTTTTCCCACTGACCACCAATATGAGGAGCATTCTTCCCACTGATCACCAATATGAGAAGCATTCTTCACACTGACCACCAATATGAAGAGCATTCATCCCACTGACCACCAATATGAGGAGCATTCTTCCCACTGACCACCAATATGAGGATTATTCTTCCCACTGACCACCAATATGAGGAGCATTCTTCCCACTGACCACCAATATGAGGAGCATTCTTCCCTCTGACCACCAATATGAGGAGCATTCTTCCCACTGACCACCAATATGAGGAGCATTCTTCCCACTGACCACCAATATGAGGAGCATTCTTCGCCACCGATCACCAATATGAGGAGCATTCTTCCCACTGACCTCCAATGTAAGGAGTAATCTCCCAAATGACCTTCAATGAAAGGAGCATTTCACCCACTGATACCATTGTACGAAGTATGCAACCGATGTGTGTAGGTGTATTTTTTTTACTCCAAACCTTTAACTTGTCATTTGCTATCGTTTCTCTTCATGGACTATTGGAGTTTTTGCTTTGTAAGGCCTAGTAGCAAAATGGCTACACTCCCAGCGCTGACATGGGTCCTTATCAAGACTGTATCCTCATAGCTGTTCTTTTTTAATCTGGTTGTTCTTGTAAATAAATGTCCATATGAATATTTTAGGTCTTTTTAAATTCACCAAATCCCCCTCCAAATTTGTAACCGCAATTAGTACTGGTTTCTGCTTGACCAGTGGTCCTTGTCAAATGTGGCCTCAAATCATATTACTCCGGAATTTAGGATATTTCTGGGACAGATGCCAAGACCTAAATGTATAGGATGTGACATTTTCTTTGCCACCATGTGTCTCCAGTAAATGTTTCTTTGTAAATTTTGCAACATTGTGGAGAATAAAGATGAAAATGTTTCAGTATTTATTTGGAGTGGCATTTTCTTGTAATTCTTGCTGCTGCTGTTTAGTGTAAGATGTTTTGAAATATCCAGAGTGCCCATTGGGATTGTCTAAATTTTGCATGTTGCCTTAGAGGAATTGCAGCAACAGATGGATGTACAAAATAAATGTAACATCTCACCAGCAAATACTCGGCACTCTGAGCGTATAATGGGCTCGAAATTATAGTCGTCATAGCTAACTCTGTAATTCTCCATTAGCGACAAGCAAAGCAGTTATGGGCATCGAGAGGCTGTACTAATATTCATGACCAGGATAGGTATTATGCTCACAGATGTTATTTTTTTTACAACCCTGCTTTACCAAATCTGAAAAGTTCATGTTATGTGTGGGTGTCTGTAACCTATAAAGCAGAGCTGTGGGTAAATAGATACATTATATTGCCAAAAGTATTGGTACGCCTGCCTTTACATGCACATGAACTTTAATGGCATCCCAGTCTTAGTGAGGTCAGGCACTGATGTCGGACGAGAAGGTCTGGCTGGCAGTCTCCACTCTAATTCATCCCAAAGGTGTTCTATCAGGTTGAGGTCAGGACTCTGTGCAGGACAATCAAGTTCCTCCACCCCAAACTCACTCATTCATGTCTTTATGGACCTTGCTTTGTGTACTGGTGCGCAGTCATGTTGGAACAGGAAGGGCCATCCCCAAACTGTTCCCACAAAGTTGGGAGCATGAAATTGTCCAAAATATCTTGGTATGCTGAAGCCTTAAGATTTTCCTTCACTGGAACTAAAGGGCCAAGCCCAACCCCTGAAAAACAACCCCACACCAAAATCCCCCCCCTCCAACAAACTTTACGCTTGGCACAATGCAGTCAGGCAAGTACCGTTCTCCTGGCAATCAACAAACCCAGACTCGTCCATCGGACTGCCAGACAGAGAAGCGTGATTCATCACTCCAGAGAACACACGACTCCACTGCTCTGGAGTCCAGTGGTGGCGTGCTTTACACCACTGCATCCAACGCTTTGCATTGCACTTGGTGATGTAAGGCTTGCATGCAGCTGCTGGGCCATAGAAACCCATTCCATGAAGATCTCTACGCACTGTTCTTGTGCTAATGTTAAGGCCACACGAAGTTTGGAGGTCTTTAGCCATTGACTCTGCAGGCAGTTGGTGACTTCTGTGCGCTTCAGCATGCACTGACCCCGCTCTGTCATTTTACGTGGCCTACCACTTTGTGGCTGAGTTGCTGCTGTTCCCAGTTGCTTCCACTTTGTTATAATTTGTTATAATATTTAGTATCAAGGAAATGTCACGGATGGACTTATTGCACAGGTGGCAACCTATCACAGTATCACGCTTGATTTCACTGAGCTTCTGAGAGCGACCCATTCTTTCACAAATGTTTGTAGAAGCAGTCTGCATGCCTAGGTGCTTGATTTTATACACCTGTGGCCATGGAGGTGATTGGAACACCTGAATCCAATGATTTGGAGGGCTGGCCCAATACTTTGGGCAATATACAGGTGAAACTCGAAAAATTAGAATATCGTGCAAAAGTTCATTTATTTCAGTTAGGCTACGTTCACACTAGCCTTGTGTGCAGGCGGCAGAGAGGCGTTTGGGAAGCGTTTTTACCGCTTCCCAAACGCCTCTGCCAATTCTGCACATTACAGCACATGGTGCTGTTCTAACAGGAGCGTTTGCGTCGCGTCGCGGCAAAACGGACGCCTCTGGTCGAGTCAGGAGGCTTTGAAGCCTCCTATTCTCGTCTATGGTGCCGCTCCGCAAACGCCCGGCCGGCGTTTGCGGTGCGGTTTGCGACGCGGTTGCGGGGTGTTTGCGGAGCGGTAACACCACTCAAATGCATTATAGGCGTTTGTGGGGCGTTATTAACGCTCGGCAAACGCCTAGCACCCTCCGCTAAACCGCGCATGCGGCGTTTGCGGAGCGTTTGCCGAGAGTTAAAAATGCTCCGCAAACACCGGACCAACGCTTGCCAAACGCTATAGGGGCGTTTGGCAAGCGTTGGCAAAACAGCCTAGTGTGAACGAGCCCTAATGCAACTTGAAAGGTAAAACTAATATATAAGATAGACTCATTACATGCAAAGCAAGATAGTTCAAGCCGTGAGCCGTGATTTGTCATAATTGTGATGATTATGGCTTACAGCTCATGAAAACCCCAAATCCACAATCTCAGAAAATTAGAATATTAAATGCAATCAATAAAACAAGGATTGTACATAGAACAATATCGGACCTCTGAAAAGTATAAGCATGCATATGTACTCAGTACTTGGTTTGGGCTCCTTTTGTAGCAATTACTGCCTCAATGCGGCGTGGCATGGAAGCTATCAGTCTGTGGCACTGCTGAGGTGTTATGGAAGACCAGGATGCTTCAATAGCAGCCTTCAGCTCTTCTGCATTGTTCGGTCTCATGTCTCTCATCTTTCTCTTGGCAATGCCCCATAGATTCTCTATGGGGTTCAGGTCAGGCGAGTTTTTTGGCCAATCAAGCACAGTAATCCCACGGTCCTTGAACCAGGTTTTGGTGCTTTTGGCAGTGTGGGCAGGGGCCAAGTCCTGCTGGAAAATGAAGTCAGCATCCCCATAAAGCTTGTCTGCGGAAGAGAAAGCATGAAGTGCTCCAAAATCTCCTGGCAGACGGCTGCGTTGACCCTGGACTTAATGAAGCACAGTGGACCAACAACCTCAGATGACATGGCTCCTCAAATCAACACAGAGTGTGGAAACTTCACACTGGACTTCAAGCATCTTGCAGTGTCCTTGGTTTCCAAATGAGATGCAAAAGTTGCTGTCATCAGAAAAGAGGACTTTGGACCACTGAGCAACAGACCAGGTCTGTTTTTCTTTAGCCCAGGTAAGATGCTTCTGACATTGTTTGTTCAGGAGCAGCTTGACAAGAGGAATTTGACATTTGAAGCCCATGTCCAGGATCCATCTGTGTGTGGTGGCTCTTGATGCACTGACTCCAGCCTCAGTCCACTCCTTGTTAAAGTCCCTAACACTTTTGAATGGCCTTTTCCTGACAATCCTCTCCAGGCTGCGGTCATCCCTGCTGCTTGTGCACCTTTTTCTTCCACACTTTTCCCTTCCACATAACTTTCTATTAATGTGCTTTGATACAGCACTTTGGGAACATCCAACTTCTTTTTCAATTACCTTTTGAGGCTTTCCCTCCTTATGGAGGGTGTCAATGATGGTTTTCTGCACAACTGTCAGGTCAGCAGTCTTTCCCATGATTGTGATTCCTACTGAACCAGACTGAGAGACCATTTAAAGGCTCAGGAACCCTTTTCAGGTGTTATGGCTTAATTATCTGATTAGAGTGGGACACTTTGAGCCTAGAATATTGCACCTTTTCACAATATTCTAATTTTCTGAGATTGTGGATTTGGGGTTTTCATGAGCTGTAAGCCATAATCATCACAATTATGACAAATCACGGCTTGAACTATCTTGCTTTTCATGTAATGAGCCTATCTTATATATTAGTTTCACCTTTTAAGTTGCATTACTGAAATAAATTAACTTTTGCACGATGTTCTAATTTTTCGAGTTTCACCTGTAGTGTATATTCACATTTGACATACATTTGTGTGGACTGTCTTTCTCTTTGATCTCGGGTACCATGCCATTAAATATAACTAGGTACCGGACCTAACTGGTGGCAGGGCCTAGTGGTGCCTGCATTTATGTTTTTAAAGGAAAACTTCAATTACACTGAAATTGTGGTGGGGGTAGCACAGTAGCTAAGTGGTCCGCCTAGCAGCACTAAGGTAATCTGTTCAAATTCCAACCATGGCACTACCTGCCTGGAGCTTGCATGTTCTCCCTTGGCCTGCATGGGTTTCCTCTGGGTGCTCTGGTTTCCCCCACAAATACACATACTAGGGCCAATTTAGACAGGAGCCAATTTCTGTGGGACTTTTACCCTGGAGGACATTGACGGCGCCTGGCGGGTGCTGTGTTGTTTTAAGGATGCTTTATGGTGTGCCAGGAAGCGCCTCATCCACCAGCGGAAGAGGATGTCCTTTGAGGTCTTTCGCAGACTGATCCTCAGTCTGCTCAGAGACTATAACTTGATGGACTTTGAGGAAGAGGACGTCTGAGGGTCTCCCCTTCCCCCTACTCTCCCTTGCGTGTCTTTGTCCTTTCAATAAATCTCTGGGCCTGTGAACTCTGTCCCCTTTCCCTCTGCCCTCCTTCCTACCCCCCCCCCCCCCAACACACCCGATGCTTGTTTGAATTTTTTATTCTGTAATGTTTCTGCATGTTATGATTATGTGGCGGTGCCTCTGGTGGAACCTAAGGGGGCCACAAACAGTCTCGGGGTAAGCAGCGTCATGCATTGCGTGATGCTCTGGGGAATTTGTCTGCCGTGCACATCACGTTAGGCATCATACCGTTGAGTGAATGTATTTATTGTATGATTGGAACTGTATTGTCATGTGGTGTATTAATCGCTGTGTCGCAGTACAGGGTGAGATGTACCCCAACTAAAGTATCTTGTTTTTTTTATACTTATGTAAAAAATAAAGTGTATTTTTCAACAAAAAAAAAAAGAAATGTGTATTTATGAATGTGAGTTAGGGACTTTAGATTGTAATCTCCTTGAGGGCAGGGACTGATAGGAATATACGATATATATGTAAAGCATTCTGTAAATTGACAATGCTGAAATAAATTGTCCTTCAAATTCCTCCCTTCCCTATCCTCAATATAGTCAATATAGTGAAATACCTACCTTCAACCCCAATATCATCACTGTACAGTTCTGTCCAGCTTTTGCACTAAAGTCCTGGATGTGCTCTTCACCTTCTGCTCATGTGCACTAAGGCTTGGTCTGTTCTGCTGTGTTGGATGGCATTGTCTGCTTTGAGTATGGCCCAACCTTAGGATTGAACTGAGAGAGAAATTGTTATTTAAATGTCATATTTTGCATCCCAGAAGTCCCAAATGCTGAGATTAACTAGTGGATTAATAATATAAGTCCCTAGCCTTGGTGTTATACATGTGATCAGCTAAGACCCACCTCTATGACAGTTCGGTTTGAGGGCTAACTGGATCTTGCCAAGTGGTGGCTCATACCTTCTCACACCTTCCAATTGGCCCATCACTATTATGGATGGCCAGAAGGAAGGTGTAAGGTGCTGGGGGCGCGCAGGAGGGCACGTTCTGTGAGGACGTCATATGACGCCCTCCCAGATCTCGCCAACCGCGCTGTAGCTGTCATTCGGCTATAGCACAGTTGGCAAGTGGTTAATGACTTTTAGTATAGTCGTTAGACTGGCTTTTTACAAGTGTTAAAAACGCTCCCCAAATGCCTTATGTGTAGTGTTGAAGCTTTTTACAAGCGTTAAAACCACACCACAAACTAAGTAAAGTGTAATGTTATTAAAGCTCCGCAACCACACTGCAAATGCCCCATAATTGCCTACCAGTGCGTTTGAGGAACGTCACCATAGACTTGAATGAGAGGTGTTGAAAGGCTTCAAAGTCCTGCTGACTCGACATGAGACTTCAGTTTTCAAGCAACGCTTCATGCTTTGATAATGTGCTGTCCAGAGCATCATTTGCATAGGCATTTAAGGAGCCTTAAAAATGCCCCTCAAACACCTGCTTTCAGTGCCAGTGTGAACTGGGCCTAAAGGATAGGAGGGTTTTGCTCCTCTTAAGACAGATTCAGGTACTTGCTATGTTGTTTTTTTAAATATATTTTTTGTTACTTTGCTGATATGAACTCTGACTAAGCCCATAAGGGTGAAACGTCATGGGGGGTGGCCTCCTGGCGGGGATGAACTAGGTTGCTTTTATGGACTAAAAAAAATTGATTGAGCCGAGTGATATCAGAGTGCAGCTTCTCCTTTTCTACATGTTATGGCTATTTAAACATTTCCTAATTGGATTGGTGGGCCTAAACAAGAATGGAAATACTCAGAAATTGCAAAATTGTGTTTTGTGGTTTTTTTACAAGGTCTAACAGCTGTTCATAAATACTGGCAGGACCTGAGATTCTCTGACTTGCGTAGTTTCAGCTCTTGTAGCTGCATAGCCCGGTGGTCATAGGTTTACCACACCTTCCTCTTAGGCTTAGTTCACATTAGCATTGAAAGCAGGCATTTGTGGGCGTTTTTAATGCTTTTCAAAGGCCTATGAAAATGATACACATGGCAGCACACAGTGCTGTTCACACTGAAGCATTAGCATTGTGTCAAAATTGATGCCTCATCATGTCCAGTCAGGAGGAGTTTGAAGCCTTTCAACGCCTCCCATTCAAGTCTATGGTGATGCTCCTCAAACGCCTTGCAGGTGTTTGCGAGGCGTTAATACCATTAACTTCATTATAGGTGTTTGTGGTGCGGTTTTAACGCTTGAAAAATGCCTCAAAACCATGCATAGGGCATT